CTGGTTGTAACCCGAAAAGTTCGTTAGTAGAGGCGTTCGTATCCCGAGGTACCACTGTACATGAATTTCAGTGTTGTTGTTCTTTCTACAAAATAATGAACAATACTGTAGCATATTGTAAGTCTAAAAGCAAGAATAGTAGACTTAAATCTATTGATATGTCTCTGGATGCTCTGCAACAGTTTGATCAGGTTTTGTACTCTTCACTGTCTAATAACAGCAATACTTAAATGAATACTCCCTCCCCAAATTTAATTGCTTTAGATTAGAAAAACACTGGTGATGGGATAGACTAAGAGCAGATTTTTTTCCATGAAGGTCATTTCAGCCTTGGTACTGGTACTAAAATCTGAGTTCTGGATTGGAATGTGTGCTCAAAAATATCTTTTTTATTAATTTATATGATTGCATGCCTGAATCAGTATTCTGCAATTGCTCCAGCTGGCAGCCTTCAGGGCTATACTAAAAAAACAAGATCCTGCAAACTTCAAATTTGCTCATCCCAACATAATGACTGCTACATAATCAGCAACCTTCATTCAGTGATTGAAGCTTAATTCTCATATTTTTTAAACCCATTTACAAATGTCAATGCATCACAAACTACTGCAGAAGCTACCTTTCATTGCATAAAGAAGATATTGCTCCTTTCCTTCCAGTCCTCTATAATATCAGACACAGTAAAACAGCCCAGGATTTATCTCTTAGCCAACTGAGAATTATTTAGTTTAGCACTCTATGCTGCATTAATTTTCAAGTAAGTAAATGTTATTCAGCTTTTCTCCACAGGTACCAAAATATTTTGAGCACATCCAAAGGCCTTAAAGTCAAAATACAAAGAAAGCAAGATGTAGGACAAAAAAAAAAAACCATGAAGAGAAACTAAAATTAAAAGTGATAGTCTAATTTTTTTTTTCCAGAGGAAAACGTATGCAGAGTCTAACTTAAAGTAAGCATATGTTGAGAAATCAGCAATGTACTGGGAAGGGTAAGTAGCACAGATAAAAGGTGACCAACTCCCTTTGTAAGACTCCTACGTAAAGAATTTTAGATAAATTTACTTAATCCTAGGTAAATAAGAATTGTAGATTTCATAATTATATCACTATCCTATTTCAAAACATCTAAGTCTACAAAGTATTCATAGAAAGGATTGGTGATTTCACAAACTACCTCCTTGTTAGCAGCTGGATACAATTTCATTTTCTGGAGATCTAGAATAAAGTCAGCAAACTAAGAATAGAGAAATAAATTTGGTAACTAATATTCAGAGGAAAGACAGAAATAAGCTTGCTTTTTGAACAAAAATTAAAACCCACCTTTTCACAAAAGCTTTCCCCTACAGATGTTCCAGCATCCTTTTTCATTAAGAAATAGGCATGGTGAAAGCAAGAAAAGAGAAAAATAAATAAAAATAAACTTGTCAAAAGGGGCAGTCAAATTTTATTAAAGGGATATTTTCAATTTAAACATATTTCAAGAAGTTATGATAAGGATACATTAACAATTAAAGGAGGACAATATTCATTAACATGCACAATAAATTACTGGCTATTCTATAGAAATATTAAGAGATCAAAAGCTAGACACATATGGTTCTATGCCTGCTGAAGGAAGAAAAAACACTTTATCATAGAATGGGCAGGAAATGTAACTGTACTGTATTTTTATAGGAATTTATATATACAAAGATTGTATATATAAATGCTTGTTCATCTTTAAAAATTTACTGTAAACACTTAACCATCATGAATTGCTGAACAGAAAAAATCCATATATTCAGACTATGCCATATCATCCTAAACATATATGTACAATAATAAACCCTCTGAATATATGATTGATCATCTCCAGACCTCAGAGGTCAAGTTAATTATTACTTAAAAATATAATAATGGATTATTATATTATGAACCAATATACCTAAAAGCTACTATGAATGGATCATTGTTATGCGCCTCCCCATTCTGCCTTAGCAGATGAAAACCCTATTTGCCCTCTGCACAATTTGCTTACTTAACTCAGTCTCTATGGCAGATAAGTTCAGTAACATGAATGGAAAGATCTGTTTTTTTCCAAATCAGCATTTAGTGGAAAATGTATTTCTAGGAAAAAGCTGTTATCCCAAAAAGATTCAACTAGATATTATTCCTTTCTTTTGAAGAGCGAATTTCTTTAGCATTGTAACTCCTTAGCAAGTATAGCTAGTGCTTGTTTAATAACCATTCATTCAGCAACTGTTTGAAGTTACGGTGGCATAAGTAACAAAAGGTACTTATGCCCAGTCCCTGAAGTTACTGCCATTGCAGTAACCCTGCAGTCACATGATCAAAATTTGGGCGCTTGGCAGCCCACCTGCACTTATGACTGCAGGGGTGCTTCAACCCACCTATCTCACCATCTCTGCCCTTTTGGCCACCCTGCACAGCAGCACTCCTCAGTGCTGAAGTCAAGGCCTGAGGCCTTCAGCAGTCTCAGCTGGCCACCACTGCCCCCAGGCCTCTACATCAGCCCCAATGCTGCCGCCGCCACCGAGGACTGCCATCTCAAGCCCCGCACCACAGCCAGTTACCCCAATGCCACAGTGCAAAGCCCCAGCCGCCTTGCGTTCCGGAGGCCCTGCTGCACCCAGCTGACCTTTGCCATCTTCTTCCCACTGCTGACAAGGCGTGCCTGGCCTGGCCCTATGTGAGGCAGCTACTGGCCGTGCCAGGCCTTCTCCACTTCTAGTGCGTGCCATTCTCACCTAGCTGACTCCACCTAGCTGAACTTCTCCATCTTTCTCCCGCTGCTGACAAGGTGCGCCTGGCTTGGCCCTATGTGAGGCAACTGCTGGGTGTGCCAGGCCTTCTTCTTGAGGCCGCGTGCACCACTCTTGCAATGCTTCAAAAAGCTTCAGAGGCCTTCCAAAGCATTGCGAAAATGGTGCGCGTGGTCTGGAGAACAGCAAGCACAGCCTTCTTGTGAGGTTTCAGAAGGCCTTAGAAAGCATCTAAGCTTTCTGAAGCATCGCAAGAATGGTGTACGTGGCCTCAAGAAGAAGGCTTGGCGCACCCAGCAGTTGCCTCACATAGGGCCAGGCCAGGTGCACCTTGTCAGCAGCAGGAGAGAGACGGAGAAGATCAGCTAGGTGGAGTAGGGCCTGCAGAGTGCAGGGCAGCAGGGGCATCTGGGGCTTTGCAGTGTTGTGCTGGGTTGGCTGGCTGCAGCGCGGGGTTTGAGGTAACACTCTTTGGTAGGGGTGGGGGCAGTGGCAGCCAGCTGAGACTCCTTTAGTCTCTGGGCGTCTATTTCAGCCCCAGTGCTGCTGTGCAGGGCACCCAAAAGAGCAGAGATGGGGAGAGATAAGCAGGTGGAAGGTCTTGAAGAGGAGACAGTCCCTTCTCTTACTGTGGTTCGGGGCTGGGAGGGACCAAACTGGAAATGGCTTGGATCAGGATGGGGACTAGTGGGATTCAGCTAATTACAGCAACGGGGTCTGCCAGGATTGCTGTCACCAAGTGATGCAGTCATGTGATGTTGCGTGAAACCATTGCTAAGTGATGCAGTATTGTGACATCATGCGACACCCCGGTCAACACTGGCAGGGTGAGCTACTGTATCCAATAGAGGAGAATATATGTAGCTCAGGGTTGAATTGTGGAGTCCTTGGTGCTCTCTGAGATTGGTTGTATGCTTGCAGACATTTCATTGCCCTACTGATACCAATGCTGGTAAGAGTGCTGGTATCAGTGCAGGTAACTGATGATGTTACCTAGTTGGGTAATGAAACGTCTGCAAGCAAACAACCAATCTCAGAGAGCACCAAGGACTTCACAGCTATTGATTATAAACAGGGAGCAAACCCCACGCTCACTTGCACTGATGATGTTACCTAATTGGGTAATGAAATGTCTGCAAGCAATCAACCAAGCTCAGAGAGCACCAAGGACTCCACCATTCAATCCTGAGCTACATACATTCTCTTCTACTGTAATCACAAATATTGAAAAGGTAACTAAAATTGATCTAGATTTTTTTCCTTAGTTATACTATTGACAAAGGAAAGTTACTTATTATACCCAGGAAAATAATAATCACTCAGTGATGTCTGTTAGCTACATCAAGTAACTCTGAATACAAACAAAAGAGAACCTGGCCTCATTTACTCCATGGCTTTTCCACTCTCCTACTCTGACCTTTGGTCATCAAAAACATATTTAAAAATTTGAATAATTTATTATACAGATTTAAAAAGAAAATGAATCTATCTGAATATGCAGCAGTTTCTAATCTATTTCCCTCCTAAATACTGAAATTAAGTGACAGAACACTTTCATAAATACAATGATGACTCATGAAAATTTATCTATTTTTTATTATTCCAGTTCTGAAATCATAGAAGAAAACCTGTAAGCAATATGTGATGAATCTATTTTCCTGGATGACACAGATTCTTTTTATAACAAGATAGGGGATGCAGCACAAACTTTTCTATACTCCTATTTACAACCTGAAGTTTAAATGGTGATTTCTATTTCTACTCACAGTTTATCACATTTTCCCAATATTCATCAGCAACCCTTATCTGTTACCAGTCTTCTCCCACTATCCTTTTTAAGGACTTCTTGTCTTTAAAACAGAGGCAGGCAAACATTCAGTAGCCAGATGCCACACACTTTAAAATTACTAGTTTAATAACCATGGGCCACAATGGAAGATATATTTTAATGCATACCATCCTGCACTCATTCTGAAACCTTACAATAGCCACCCCCTCCCCCACTGCTCTGTTGCCCTAAATGCTGGCTGGAGATTATAGGATGATTATAAGAGTTATAGCTTATCTAAAGGGCACTACGCTGAGGACAGTATACAATACTTGACTGAAGTGTTCACTGTAAGAAAGTGAGTTTTAGCAGAGTTGTGCCACAATAAAGAAAGTTTATTTTTATGTGCTGAATAGGACATGTAATCACATTGTCACTGTGAGTTTCTATTTCTTGCTTACCTAGATTTGGTATGGGCAGATTTCAGATATCAACTTTGTTATTTTGTTAGATCCCAAAGATCAGTTATTGAATATTGTGAGATACATTCTGAATGATTTGGATCTACAAATACTGACTTTAAAGAGCTAATCATCCAGTTAAAAATGGAGGAGAGATTTTCCCCCCCCTATTGTAGGGCTATGCCAAGCATTTGGAGGGTAATTTCCAAAGTGATAAGAATGCCTGTCCAAACCTGCTGCTCAAAATGTTGAGGCAGCATATCCTCTCAGAGGCTTCCCACGGCTGCTTCAAGGGCCTCCCATATTGTCTGAGTCTGCTTCAGTAGCAATCCCAGTGAAAGTGACCTGAATCAGCCACATCAAGTTTTTGAAGCCATGACATCCTGACACTTCAAACAGTAGGTTCAGAGAAGAAATTTGGTTATTTCATGAAGTACCCTTCCAAATACATTCCATAACCCTATTGAACAATTGGGAATTGGAAGTCATTGTCCATTCAGCAATCTATTCAGCAAACCGTTCAGCAATCTATCAGTGTTTTCCTGTTCTGTAGATTAGTATAAACAGAAGGTGAAATTGATTTAAGCTGTGGATTAAGCCTGGGATATTTAAACAGCTATATCATAACATCACACATGTTCTTGGTTTTATATTAATATATATATTTCACATCTGATCAACCCAGAGTTCTCACTCGAGGCACAAATGACCAAGCTAAAGTTATCCTCCTTTGGACACATTATACGAAGTCCTAGCTCTCTGGAGAAGGCTCTAATGCTAGGAAAGGTAGAAGGAAAGTAGAGAAGACAACCAACAGCCAGGTGGATGGTTTCAGTTACAGTGGCAATGGTTGCATGATTGGAAGACCTGAAGGACCAGGCTAGGGACAGATCATCATGGAGAAAATCTATGTGATCAATAAGAGTCAACAATCACATGATGGCACATCATCATCATCATGTTCACTGTGAACTCCAGAATGTCATTCTACCAGAATCATGTTAGTACTATGATAATCTTTAGCAATAATCTATGCTACCTTTGAATTTCTATGCATTCAACCACCCTTCTCCAATCTAGTGCTCTTCAGTCACATTTGGACTAAAATACCACGCTGGCTTGAAATTTTGGGCTGCATTTAATGCAGAAGACTGTATTAAATTATCTGTTTCTGCTGAGCAGTTTAATTATTTATTTAGCTTTTTTCCCAGGTACAATTCTATCCTTTGGATAAAAATAAAGTTCCTCTGGTAAATAAAACCATCTCTCAAGGGAATCTGTTAGAGAGGCATACATATTGGACCACTGCTCCCCATCTTAGTGAGAAAAGAAAGCAAAATAGATATTAAGAGAGATATAATGAAACAG